AAAAAAAAAAAAAAAAAATGCTGAGAGGAAAAAGCCAAGCTTGGAGCTGGAATCGCAGCTCCGCAGGAGACGTGAGAACAGTAGGGAATTTGAGGCTAGCGTGATCTGCGTAGTGGCCCACACCTTTAGTCCCAGCACTGAGAGGCAGAAGCAGGCGGATCTCTGAGGCCAGCCTGGTCTACAGAGTGAGTTCCAGGACAGCCAGGGCTACATAGAGAAACCCTGTCTCAACAAACAAACAAACAAACAAAAAGACCCACCCACTTGTATAAATAAATAGCTGGGTTATGATGGCTCACTTTTATTTTGGTTTGTTTTTTTTTTTTTTCCAAGACAGGGTTTCTCTGTGTAGCCCTAGCTCACATTTATAATCCCAGCCTTCAGGAGGCTGAACTGTCTCAATTAGGCCAGCCTGCTCTACATGGCAAGTTTCAGGCTAGCTTGAGCTACAGAGTAAGACCCTATCTCAAAAACAAAACAAACAGCCAGGCATGGTGACACCCGCCTGTACTTCCAGCCCTGGGTTGACAGGGGCAAGAGAATAACTGTAAGTCTGAGACTAGCCTGGTCTACATAGTGAGTTCCAAGCCAGCCTGAGCTACAGAGTAAGATTGTGTCTCAAAAAAGAAGGAGCAGAGCCGGGTGGTGGTGGTGCACTCCCAACACTCGTGAGGCAGAGGCAGGCGGATCTCTGTGAGTTCGAGGCCAGCCTGGTCTACAGAGGGAGTTGTAAGGAGGGAAGAAAGAAAGGAAAAGGTTTTGTGTGAGATGGTTGAGGGTAAAAATGTTTGCTATCAGGTCCCACAACCTAAGTTTGATCCCTAGGCATCACTTGGAGATAATCAACTCTGACAGGTTGTCCTCTGATCTTTATACGCACACTGAGACACACAAGAAAATGTAAAAAAAAAAAAAATTAAACAAAGAAACAAAACAAAAGCTGAGAGATTGCCATTTTCCCTACTTTACAGTAAGGAAACAGAGGCTAAGCACGCACACTGGTCCTAGCCCTAGACTGCTGAGAAAAAAACGCCACAGAGTTCAAACCATG